ATAAGCTTATTATTCAAAAACTATAACATTCTATGTTATTCTTATGTTAAAGAAATGTGTAGTAAAATTTTGGATCTGTGGGTCCTGAACATTAAATTGGTTAAGAAATATGAGCCAGGGGTTCCTCAATCTGATCTAGTGGATTGATATCGGAGACTTTCGTGGCATATTTTAGTAGATAGGGTGTCAGCTGTACTAAGCCCGATTCACTTCTGATTCTTTCCTTCTTTTTTTTTTTTTCCACTTTCGTAGCTGTGCCATAAATGGACATTATCCACAACCTGCGGTGCTGAGGCACTTTTTCAGAAGATAACAAAGTGGTCTAAATGTCTAAAGTGTGGAACTATTTTAAAGAATAAAATGAAATCTCACAGTTTCTGCCAATGTTTCGTCTGTGTTTAAGCCAGGCACCTTTCCTCAAAACATGAGCATGTGAAATGTGCAACTACTCTGCTTCAAGTCTTTTTTTCTGCCACTTGCTGCGAGTGACATGCCACCGGAAGCACATGTATAATGCGCTCAAACCACATTTTTCACTTGCAAGTTGTTAAAAATAAGAGTATCTCGGGAAACGTTCTGCTTTACCCGCAGCTATGCTGCTTCTGATTTAAAACTGGTGTTTTAACTGCTGTAACAGTGCATTTAAAACTGTGAGGAAGGAGCAAAATACTAACAGAGCAATATGTAATTGTGGTGTATTTATGACGCTATGACTATGGTAGTTTGACTTTTTGTAGTCAAAAAAAAGAAATAGTTGAGCCAAATCAAATTGAATCATATACCAATAATTTAACTCAGTTCAAGTTTTTTTGAACGCCCCTGCTCAAATGACACATTTTGTTGATTTTCTAAGTAAAAATAATTTAACGCATCCTCTACAGGGAACAAGTGAAAAGTGGCATTTTAATGCTAATTTTAATGCACAAATTCTATTTATTTGAGTTTAACATGTTAAAAATAAAATAAAGCAGAAAATGTGAAATGTGCCATAATTTTTGCACAGGCCACATTTTTTTCCAGTATGTTAAATTCAGCAAAAAAATTCTGATGTGATATTGTTCATGTATAAATAATGTGCACATCTGAATGAAGTACAGAAAATATGGTCATTTAAAAAAAAAGGTGGGCCAAAAACAAAACATACAAGTGCACATCCAATAATTGGCAGCCCAGCATGTCTTACTAAAAAAATGTGGTTGTATTACTTATGAAAACACAAAAATCAGATCTACATCAGCCGATACTCACCGTTAAAGTACTTGGGTTGGATCAAGGGGGTAAAAAAACTGGTCATCTGTAATATAAACTGTAAAAAGTAAAGTAAAAGCTGTTGATGTGCCCTTTATAAAGCAAGATCATTTCATCTGTACTGTACACTGTAATATGTTCTCTCAAGAGCCGCTATCATGTTCTCTCACTGCCACGGTGGAGCATCCATTAGCAATCTGATCTGACTGTGTGCCTTTGTGTGCTTTTAGAGTGAATCAGTGTATTAACTGCTTTATTTGTGTTTTCATACAGCCTGAATTCGCTTAACAATTCAAATAAACCCACCGACTATAAAAATCTTTGTGGTAAATGATTTTGCGAATAGCTTTAGCTTTTCATGAATGCAGTAGGGTTGCCAGTTGTGAACAGAAAGCAGTGATAACAGCTTTTAGTACTGAGAACAGTTCTTTGCTACTGGCGTAAAGAAGAGAATAGATTATCTTTGGTCTGATGAGTGCAGGATGATTGCACAGCATGTTCCTCCCTCTCTGAAAGGTCTGTGATCTTTAGGTTGTGGAGGTTAAATTTATGGTTTGGACAAAAATCTAATTTACAGTTTTCCTCTCATCCCAGATGTGCTTAGTAGGTTAAGACACAGCACTGTGCGAAAGAAAGAGACCAGACTTCATTTATTTCATTTCCAATCAAAATGGCCATTAAGTACAGGTTTTCGCTGAGTTAGTATAAAGAAAAAAACAGAAAACGTAGATTTGATAGAAAATTACACAGAAGCCACAACAACTAAATGTATTTTTCAGAATTTAATGTCCACTCTTTGACATTTATTACAGCTTCCATTCTTTTCAGGGGACCCACTTTCAGTTTTTCAAAGAAATCTGCAGGGATATTTTTCCACACCTCCAAAGTTCAGTCTTAGAAGCTGGTTGATCATTTTCTGAAGTAATCAAACACATTCAGTGATGTTGAGGTCTGGACTCTGGGGTGGTCAGTCCATTGTTCAGCATTGTTTGTTTGATGTGTCCGTCTCCTTTTCTCAGTGAGGTTCTTCTTGACAGCTACACATCCTTTCAGACCCACAGCGCTGAGTCGTCTTCTCACAGTGGAAGGATGGACAGAAACACCTGTGGATGTTTTCAGATCTGAAGCAGCTTGATTTTCTCCTCTCTCTCAAAGATGAAAGCTGTCAGTGCTGTTTATCTGATGGGGGCAGTTTAGGTGGTCTTCCAGGTGCACGGCTGTTATGAGTCCTATTTTCTCTGTATCTTTTGATCATTTTTTGACTCAAGTTTTGGAAAATCCTGTCATTTATTTTCCTTTGACTTTCTCTTTCTATATTCATGAAGTTACACCAATTAATATTATTATATCTTTTGGGAAACCTCTCCTGAAGACTAGCAGCTTGTAGTTATTGCCATTTTGACTGTAAATAAAATAAATAAAGGGTGGTCTCTGACGTTTGTACTATATGTTTGGTGTCTAATGTAACAACTAATGGAAGCTTATAGCCATTACTAGCGTCGTGCTAAATGCATACCTAAATCATCACACGTTCGCATCAAACTGTCTGGAGTTGTTCAGTGTCTCTAACACACTTGATTAAGTGGTTTCTGACACTGTATGAGACACTGTTATCTATGAAAATGGACAGTATTCAGATTTCAAGTTGGCTGCTGCTACTGTTATTATATGCCTTCCTTTTTGGTAATTTTTTCACAACAATAAGTCGCACAGTTCGCCCGTGTGTTTAAGGCATGAAGCTAGCATCCTGCTAATCCATGAGTATAATCTTCCATTGCTTGTTAGCTACATTAGCCTCGTAGCACCAGTGCAAATCTGAAAAAAAGCACCCTTCAGAATCCAAACACGTCTTGACTGTTCAGCTACGTTTACACTGCAAAAAACTATAGCAAGTGTAAACATCTTAAACTTAGTTAATATATCTAGTATTTCTCATTATGAGACTGTGGTAATAATATTGTAAGATTATTTAACTTATTTCTAGACTTTTTTACTTGTTTTTAAGCAGTTTTATCTTATAAAAGTGTCGTATTCTATTGGCAGATCATGTTCATTATTTTAAGCATTGTTTCTTGCAATAAGCAAATTATTGTTATTATTTCTCAAAACAGGTAAACTAATCTGCCAGTGGAATCAGACACTTTCACTAGATTAAATCACTTAAAACAAGCAGAAAATTTACAGAATCAGGTGGAATAGTCTTATAATATACTTACAACAATCATAACGAGAAATTCTAGATTTATTTCCTGCATTTATGAAATTTTCACTTGTTAAGATATTATTTTTTTGCAGTGAAGGTGAAAGGGAAAATTGAGTAAATGTGATTTTTGGCTGAATCATTGCTCTGCATATTTTAGTCAGAGCTGATCCTGGATCAGTTTCGGCCCCGATGCCTGAGAGCCCTTTCCCCTCTGAGAGTGCTCCTCAGTACTACACCTCCTCAGCACAAAGACATGCAGAGCCTGTAGTTATGGCAGAGTTCCTATCTCTTCTGAGGCCTGTAAGCTCAGCACTGCGTCTCGTTTAATCAGAGAGAAATTATCGCCGTGTGCCGAGTGAAAGTGGGTCACTCGGCTGATGAGAATAGCGGGGAGCGATGACAAAGACGAAGGAGGAGAAAAGGCCTTGAGGGTCTACAGTGAGGAGACATGTTGTAAAGTGCAGCAAATGGAGTGAATGTGCTCTGAGCTTAAGGGAGTTTCTCCTTTAGCCTAAAGACCGCGTTTATGTGCACAGTCTGTTGGTTGGTATCCTGAAGTGAGATGCGCACAAACCCTTGCAACCCCTCCCCACTCACCCACACAGGAAAATCCCAAAGATGCTTTTTGACGTTATTCTGTTGTATTTGTTGTATTGTATTCCATCTCCATCATCTGCCATTGGTTAGTAGTCATTACAGTGTGGGTGAGTGACTTGCCGTTTTGGATGTGGGTTGTAAGAATGCAAAATGTCAATGTCTTTCCCCAGACAGAGTTTAGATTGTGTGGCTGAATGCTGTGACCACACCAGCGCAAAAAACTGACAGGGAGGTCTGAAAGGGGTTACCAAAATCTCCCCCGCTGAAATATGTACAGAAACATAACGCAGGCATTCACAGAAACAGCTGTGTTAGTGTGCCGATCCAGTTTTGGAGATGTCTTTTTTTTTTAGCAGTCAACCAACATTGCTGTCAGGGTTCCTTCTCTTTATAGGAGAACAGTTTCCATAGCTTATATACATGACAGCTGTTGCACACCAATGACTTTTAGTGGTGGACATTCTTAACATTAAAGTCAACAGTGCAACCCTTCAACCAATCGTCATTTGATCACGAGTGCTTCTAAAATAGTAGAAGTGAACATTAAGCCTGTGTGTGTTAATGCAGATGTTCCGACACAGCGTCCATGTATAATAGATGTGAATGGATGCTCAAACTGGACATTAGCAACTAAAAATATCATCACTGACGTGCTAAAACTTTATCTCTGTTTTTGGCATTTTTTACACAGTTTTTAAAAATCTGATGTTCAAATTTCATAAAAAATGGACCAATAGAAATTCGCATACGTATTTTCTAAGCCGCTTATCTTCCTGGGTCGTGGGGGATGCTGGAGCCTATCCCGGCGCTCATTAGGCGGAAGCCAGGAAACAAGGACCTGTGTAGCTGTAACATTCCCAGCATGCACTGCTTTAATGGGAATGTTTACAAGAAACATCTAATCTCTCTCTCTCTCTCTCTCTCTCTCTCTCTCTCTTTTTCGCTTTTTCAGACGGCCCGTTCACGGGCACTCCGCCTACATACGGCTACGATGCAGACCGGGCGGAGGAACAAAGACGTCATCATGACATCCTGCCCTACATCGACGATTCGCCGTCCTCCTCGCCCTACCTCAGCTCCAAGAGCCGCAGCAGCAGAGACACGCTCTCCTCCGGCTCGCTCGAGTCCGCCAAGTCTGTAAGTCTGCAGTCTCCCCAGCCACGAACCACAAAACATCGTTTTCTTTCAGAGCTTGAAATATTGGTCCAAACTCGACCGATTTCAACTGCTCATGCCCACTTTTAACAGATTTATCAGGGGCATTTCCACTCTGTTTTACTTTATTCTTCACTACTTAAATCACTCAGCAGTGAGGTCCAGAGGCCACACGAAAGAAAGCAGGACATAAATAGTGAATCAGTTCAGGACAGTGCAGTTTAGCGCCACCAAAAAAATGTTTGTTTGGCCAAAAGTATTTTTAAACGTTCAGTATGTTCAATATAACGTGTTCAATAAGCAGTTTTCAATAAGCAATAAACTAGTTTTAACAAGTGAATGATAGCATTTCGTTATATTGCTGATACTTTATTGCTGCTCAGTGTGAGAAGAGGACAGTATGGAAAGTTTATCCAGGTTAAAATGGTGAAAATGTTGTTTTGCTATTCAAAAGCAAAATTTGACGAATAAAATTCTCTCACATTGCCCCTCATAGACATTACATACACTTATACTAGCACACATATAAACTCATAATAGCAAGCACCTAGAATACCATAGCAACAGGCTAGCAACACCTTAGCAACCACCTGGGATAGCTTAGCAACAGACTTGAAAACATCTTGGCAACCACATAGGATGCACTAGTAACAGCCAAGCAATACCATAGCAACCACCTTGGAAAGCACAGCAACAGCCTAGCAACACCTTACGGAGGGCCTCTGATCACTTCAGAGCTCGATCAGAGATCAAGATTCACTTGTTTCTCTGCTTACACTACCGGATCATCTGTGCCATCAGCTTCCGATCGAGCTCCCGACCTGGAAAATCGTTTCAGGTTGTGGAAATTTGCAGCAAGGGGTTAAAATCTTGTCGTGAAGGCCCAGCCTTAGCAACAACCTGGGACAGCATATCAACAGACTTGTAACATATTGGCAACCACATGGGATGCCTTAGTAACTGCAAAGCACCACCTAAGCAACCACCTTGGATAGCATAGAAACAGTCTAGCAACACCTGCCCTCATTCAACAGTACATCCATTTTTCTTTTTTCCTCATACTGAGTGATATAGAGTTTAAGGGCCTTTGTTCAGTCTCCCAAGCAGGAATCTGTTCTCCTTGTGCAGCCCACTGTGAAATATTACACTGCTAACCCTCTAATATAGAAATTTTATAGCCTAATAATTTTATTCTCAGAGGACTCATTCGTCCAGGACACTTGACACTTTCCGAATGTAGCAGGTTCTACACTAAACACCTGTACAGTTCTTATATTAAAATACGAATGGCAAATTCAGCACAATTAAGATAAGAGCAGTGTAACCAGCTGGCTTTGCACAGTTGACTTGTTTCATGTGCTGCACACTCATAATTGAAAATTCTCCTGTGTGGTTAGAAGCGACTGTAGCTTTTATGGCTGTGCTGCAGGAAAAGCCCTGCAGTGCAGTCACCCAGTCAGTAATTACACCAGTGATGGTGTAGGTGGCCCTTCCCTTGGCTCGTTCATAGCCATTGGCTGTCAGAATGACTGATGTGCGCTCTCTGCCAGTGTGCTGTCCTGAGGCTTGGAGGAGTTTATGCGTCCTCTAAGGGATCTGCCGCTGCCCTCTGACCCCAGAGTTCAGCTCCCGCGTGGGTTTTAATTAACACAGGCATGCAGATTGTCTTCATAACTCCTACACATACATGTACGTACAGCTTTGGCAGGGCTTTAATCTAATGCATACACGGCTGCAGGAGCGTGGATTTGCAGAGGGATTTGCTGAGTAAACTTCTGTGCTTTGAGGTGAGTAATTGCCAGAGGGCTCTTCAGAGAGTAAGCATGCTATAGGCTAAAGCGGAAGAACAGAAAATTCAGAACGCCTTTCTCCCGCTATAGCAGAGGTCTGAGAGTACATGCATATGGGCATTTTGTTGCCCAAGACGTGCTTGTCATGCCCACATAACCTGGTTAAAATTTCATTTTAATAAGTATTATTATTCATTTATAGTAGCCTCAAGCAATAGTTAACAGTGCTTACATTAGCAATGCATAGCAGTGATCAATGATTGTGTCTGAAAACGACTGGCAAGTCAGATAATAACAAGAAGATTACAGGCTATTAAATGCAGTTTCAATTATTGATAAAAAACGTTGGTAACACTTTATGAATTCATATGTTTTAATGCATTCATAAGGCATCATAAACATGGCTATAAATATTTATAAAATTGCATTGCATGTTATAGCCATGCTTATTATGCATATGAATTGTAATACATTATAAGTACTGTTCATAACAAATTATAAGAGCTCATAAGTCCGCTCTAAGTAAAGTGAAGCGTACTGTACTAAAGCCTCCTCCAGTGTTATGAGTGAGACTTCAAGTTGAAGTATTTACTGAAGGATTTACTGAAACACTAAAACATACTCAGTAAAGCTCATTACAGGCTTCAAATGTCAGAGTTTAAACTAGAGCTGCCATCAGTGTTTTACCCAATGTGGGAAAGTCAATGTACACCACCGTTAGTTTGGCACCAACTTAACACTGCATATCCAATAGAATGTTAGCAGAAATTAGCATTACTGTACTGTAGTGTAGGGATGTTACAGAGTGAAGGGTTCTAGTGCATGAGGTTAGAACCAGTGGGGGAACAAATCACAATGAGAGCACTCTATTATCTCAACTCTCCCTCTCCAGGCCTCAGTGTGATGTCAGAGGGGGTTCAGGGGAGGGTATCATGGGTACTTGGTTTGCTGTCATGTAGTGTAATATTTAAAGTGAGAGCGCTGGGTAAGAAAAGCACATTGTAGCTATAATTCTAGGCTGGACAGATCTGTTTGGAGCATCTGAATATTCAGGACTGAAGCCCCGAAGATGCAGCTCTAACAGCACCAGCAGTGAGAAATAAAATTTTGGAAATCTCAGGGTGTAAAAAAACTTTGTATTTATCTTTAAGCTCTCCAACCTGGGACTGACTTCTTTGGCACTGACAGTATAACATGCTATTAACACTACTTACCATGCATTATATCAACAATTCATAATGTATAATAAACATGGCTATAAAGTGTAATTCAGTGTAATTCATTTTTATAAATATTTATAACTATGTTTATAATGCCTTATGAATGCGTTATAACATTTTATAAATGTGTTTGTAGATGCTTACAAATGTGACATTCATAGAAAGTGTTACCAAAATGTTTTACCCACAACACAAGGGTGAGGTTGAGGTTTTGTTATTGTGTAGACCACTGCTTAATAGCATAATGTTTTATGAGGTAAGACATTATATGGCCAAAAGTATGTGGACATTGCTCCTAATTATTGAGTTCAGGTGTTTAAGCCACACCCATTGCTAACAGGTGTATAAAATCAAGCGCATAGCCTTGCAGTGTCCATAGACAAACACTGGCAGTAGAATGGGTCGTACTGAAAAGCACAATGACTTTAAAACTAGCACTGTCATAGGAGGACACCTTTGCCACAAGTTAGTGTCTGCTCTGCTAGATCTGCCCCTGTCAACTGTAAGTGCTGTTATTGTGAAAGGGGAGCTCAGCCACAAAGTGATAGATCATGCAAACTGACAGAGCAGGGCCGTCGAGTGCTGAAGCGCGTAGTGCATAATGATCACCTGCCCTTCGTTGCATCACTCACTACAGAGTAAACAGACCGCCTCTGGAGGTAACACCAGCACAAGAACTGTGCTTTGGGAGCTTCACGAAAGGAATCTTTATGGCCGAGCAGCTGCACACAAGCCTAGGATCACTATGCCTCACGATACACTCTTTTCCTATTCATGCTTACATATCATCAATATAGGCCTCTAACAGTAGTCATTGATGTTATGAATTCAAATCTCATGTTCACTGTGATACACTTAGCAGTCACTGTAGATCTGTTTCTCATTGTTGTTCTGACTTCTAACAGTAGTCATTGGTTATCATTGGTTAATCTAAATACAATCCCATTTCCAAAAAAGTTGGGACGCTGTGCAAAACGTAAATAAAAACAAAATGCAATGATGTGCAGATCATTTAAACCGTATATTTCATTGAAAGTAGTACAACGACAACATATCAAATGTTGAAACTGAGAAATTTTATTGTTTTTTGAAAAATATTTGCCCATTTTGAACTTGATGCCAACAACACGTTCCGAAAAAGTTGTGACGGGGCAACTAAAGGCTGGTAAAGTCATGCTAAAAAAAACACCTGGTGGTTAATTGGCAACCAGTGAGTAACATGATTGGGTATTAAAAAAAGCATCCCAGAGAGTCTTTCAGAAGTAAAGATGAGGAGGGGTTCACCGCTCTGTGAAAGACTGTGCAGGCAAATAGTGCAACAGTTCAAGAACAACATCTCTCAACATAAAATAGCAAAGAATTTGGGGATTTCATCATCTATGGTACATAATATCATTAAAAGATTCACAGAATCAAGAGATATTTTTGTATGCAAGGGACAAGGCCAAAAACCAACATTGGCTGGCTGTGATCAGGCGGCACTGCATTAAAAACAGACATGATTCTGTAGTGGAAATCACTGTATGGGCTCAGAAACACTTCTGAAAACCACTGTCTGTGATAACAGTTTGTTGCTGCATCCACAAATGCAAGTTAAAACTCAAAAACGCAAAGAAGAAACCATATATAAACAGGATCCAGGAATGCTGCCACCTTCTCTGGGCCCGAGCTCATTTAAAATGGACTGAGGTGAAGTGGAAAAGTGTCCTGTGGTCCGACGAATCAACATTTGAAATTCTTTTTGGAAATCATGGTCACTGTGTCCTCTGGGCTAAAGACCACTCAGCTTGTTATCAGTGCACAGTTCAAAAGCCAGTATTCATGATGGTATTGGGGAGCTTTAGTGCACATGGCATGGGTGACATGCTCATCTGTGAAGGCACCATTAATTCTGAATGATATGTACATGTTTTGGCAACATATGCTGCCATCCAGATGACGTCTTTTTCAGGGAAGGCCTTGATTATTTCAG